CAGCGCCGCCCGCACTGGCTGCCTGAGCCCTGGGCAGAGACCTGGGGCGGCCTGTTTCCTCCGCACCGCACCGAGCATGGTGGGGGTGGGAACAAAAGCTCCTCCTCTCCCTCCTCCCCTTCCCTAGCTGAGGCCTCCCCGCCAGGCGAGGCATCTCAGGCCTGGGGATCAGCCTGCGTCCTTGATGAGCCAGACAAGGAGCCTGAGTTGGCTCCCAGGACTGGCCCTCAGTTTCCTGCCTGTACAATGGGGATACATGACACCTACTTATTGTCAGGGTCATGATGAGAACCGGCTCTGCAAACTGTAAAAATGAGGTTTGTTGCTGCTATTCACCGACTGGACCCTGGTCCAGAGCACCCCGAGACCGGCTCCCCGGAGACCACACCCGCTCCAGCGAGCTCCGGCGCCTCCGGAGCTTCTCTCCGTGCGCCTTCAGTCCTTCAGCTCTGACCGGGGTCCCAGAGTTGGGGGGGGGGGGTTGGAGAGTTGCGGGGGTCGGAGAGTTGGGGGGGTCGGAGAGTTGGGGAGGGTCGGAGAGTTGGGGGGGTCGGAGAGTTGGGTGGGTGGGCAAGGCCGGCGGCGGGCGCAGGGAGCTGTCCGCGACTCGGTGCTGAACGGAGCCGCCCAGGCGTCCCTGCGCGCCCCTAGCGCGGTCACCTGGGAAGGAGACTTTGGTCCTAGGAGTGCCCGAGGCTCCGCGGGCAGGCTGCGGGGAACGCCCTGGAGTACAATAGAGGCCCAACAGACCCGTCTTACCCATCCTCCTTCCTCTCCCTCCCCCCACCGCCCCGGGGGCGTCCTGGCTCCGCAATCGTTGTCAACCACCACACCAGATTTTGAGATGCCTTTTAAAAAATCATTAGGAGGCTAAGAATAATTACCGAAGGGGACTGTGATTATGGGGGGGGGGGGGGCACCAACCGAGGGAATGGGGATGAGCAGGTGGAGTCTGGGGGCGGCTTTCAGGCTGGGAGGGAAAATAAGTTCCTGTTTTTCTCAGCGGGAAGAGGGAAGAGAGGACGGCAAAGTTAGAGAGAGAGAGAGAGAAGCTGATCCTGGAAGAGACTGAGGGGCCAGAGGCAGAGAGAGAAAAGAGTCGAGCAGGCTGTGGAAGGAAAGAGAGAAAGGTAGGGAGATCCGAAGAGAGAAAGATGAAAACTGAGGCAGGCGAAAGAGCAAGAACTCCACAGAGAAGACAGAGCCCTCAAACTTGGGGGCAGTGTTCAGAGATCCGTTAGCCAAGGGGAGAAGGTGATGGAGAGAAAACGAGTCCTCGGGCCTGGTCCGGCCCCCCTGGGGTTCTCGGAGGGCTAGGCCTAGGCATCCGCTCACAGCCCCAGAGCCTTTTCAAACGGGAAAAGAGGAAAACGAGAGGGAAGTGGTGGAGAAGAAGGGAGACAAAACCCAGAAGAGCTGGGATGCAGGAGGGGAGAGGGCCTGTAACCCGGAGTGAGAAGGAAAACGAGGGGGTGGGGGCGGGCGGCGGGCGCTGCTGGCCACGGAAGGAAGATTTATGGTGCTGCCCCGGTTCCAAGGACGCGCTCAGCTCGCAGCCGCCGCTGCCCAAGTCCGTAACCGCTGTGGCCGCTGCGTCCCCTGCCCGGGCGGCCCGCCGCCCCGGGCCATCCCTGCCATTATTAACTTCTGTTTGATTAGGGTAATTGTTCAAACTTGGACTGGACAGTATGATTAATTACAGTTTAATTAACGTGTCCATTAAGGACACTTAATACTACTTGGGAGAGGGGAGGGCGAGGAGGTGCTCGGTGCGGGCAAAGAGGGAGGGAGGGCGACTGGTAACGCAAATGAAGCAGAGACCGAGATTAAGAGAGGAAGAACACGGGGACCCAGTGGGGTTGTGGGGTGGGAGGGTGGGGGGTGAAGACAGAAACCCACAGGCAGAGCAGAGGGCAGGGAATGGAGAGAAAAGGAGCCGAGGGGAGAGAGAATACCCAAGGGGTGTCTGCAGGGTCAGAAGGCCAGCCCTCCGCCACAGGGAGCTGAGCTAGCAGGCGGCTAGAGAGCAGTCTCCCAACGAGGCACTGGCTCCTGCCAAAGGTACCCCCCCCCAAAGAAAATAAAACAGTTTCTGAGTCCACTGTTGAGTGAAGGAGGCAGGAGGTCGCTCCTCCCCAGGCTGGAGCTGATCTGACACCTCAGGTCCCAGGCAAAGCAGTGGGGGAGTTGGCTCTGCCCTTTCCCAGGGCCACCGCACCTCCCACCCCCGTGGTCCTGCCCCGGCCCGCTGGTCACCCTAATGACTTCCCAGGGCCACTCTCAGGCCCCACCGCCCTGGCCCAAAGTGCGGTAACCCCCCCTGCGGCCCTCTGCCTGAGCTGTCCTTACCCCGCACCCGCCCGTGGCCTGGCCTCTCCTGATCCCTAGGAGGAAAGCGCCTCCCCACTTCTTTCTTAGGGGCAAACTCCGCGGCCTAGGCCCTTTCTCCCTCTGGCCCCTTTGGCGAGCGTGGGCCGCAGGTGCCGGGCGCAGGGCGCAGGTGTGCCACAGCTTACCTGGGTACGGAGCCGTGGCGGCGCGGCGCGTGGCCCGCGGGCTGGCGGGCCCCCGGAGACGCCAGGGACTGAGCGGGCGGTGGGTGTGGCGCCGGCTCGCAGCTGTCAGGCTTGCTCCCCGCTCCGAACCGGCCTTCCCACTCCGCCTCTGACCGCGCCGTGCCCGTCGCCGCGCCACGCGCACCCAGCTCCGGCCTCCGCTCCGGGCCCTTCCCGGGCCTCCGGGGAAGCGGCGCGGGGCACACGCGGACGCGCCCAGGGCCCCGGAGCCCGCACCTGCGGAGAGCCGGCGCCGCGCGGGCGGGGCTGGCGGGGCCCCGGGTGTGAGCGCGGGGAGCCCGGGAGCGCGGCTGTGCGCGCGCGCGGGGAGGGGCCGCGCCGTCACCCGGAGAGCCCGGCGCGGAGCCCGGACGCCGCCGCGCACCTCCGCTCCCCGCCTGCCCGGCTCCAGCCGCCGCCGCCGCACGGTGAGTCCCCGCGTCCGGTGGCCCGCCCGCCCCCCGCTCCCTGACCCTGCAGCTTCTTTCGTTTAGTTCCGATTCGGGTTCCGGCGGCTGTTCTGATGATTACTATTCCTAAAGAATCCGCCGCCTCGCTCCCATCGCGTCGCCCACTCCTACCTCACCCCCCAGTCGCCGAGGGTTCCCCCAGCCGCCCTAGCTGCGGCTCCTTGTCACGGCGGCGTACAACCCTTTACCCTGGCTTTCCGCTCTGGCCCCCGAAATTCGGTTCCTTTCCTAGGGCCCCCCTTCTTCTCCTGGTCCCAGGGCTTGGGGTCCCTCCTTCCATTCAGGAAAACCCCGCGGGGACCACCGACCCTCAGCTTCGGGAGGAGGGTGCACTCGGCTCGGAGCAGTCCCTTCACTGCATGCGGGCAGGGCACACTTGCCAAATTCGGGAAACCGAGAAGACGCCGTCATTTCGCAGAACCGTGGCGCCCGCCCTCCACCACCATCTCACCCCAGGCCGCCTCCTCAGCCTGCCCGAGAGCTCTTCAGGGGGAAGCGAGGCTTGTCTTGCTGATCCCTACGCTGGGGAGTTAAGACCGAGTTTTTGCTCCTAAATGTTACAAGAGACTTCGACAAGCAGGGTCAACTTGTTTCAATTGGATCCACAGAGATAAAGATGAAACAGGCAGATAACAGATAAATAGCTTGATACTGGGAGACGGTAGGAAGACAGATGGGAGAAAGAGGAGGGAGCTGGGAACGACAGACAGCTTCGGGATGATAAGATCTCGACAGCTGAGGGGCAACCTAGACAGGGAAGGAGAAAGACAGACAGAAGATCCTAATCCTTTTGAACTCAGATCCCCTGTCCCATTTTCAGAGGGGCTGGAGCTGCTCCTCTGAAAATGGGTTTTCCTTTCCTAGGGAGTTAGAAGAGGGGCCTCAGGGTTGGGCTGGCCTGGGCCACCTAGGGAGATCCAAGCATCGCTCCCCTGATCCCCCGCTGCTGAGGTCCGAAGGCCCAGCTGCCTCCCTCCCTGAACCAGCAAGCAAAGCATGGGACAGGCAGCAACTTTGGACCTGGAGCCTTGTATCGGTTTTGGAGACAGGCTAGGATTCCCCTCAGCCCATATTGAGCCATGATAGCCCTGCACAAAGTATACTCCGAGAGGAGACCTCCCCCCAAAAAAAGAATAGAAGGAGGAGGAGGAGGAGGAGGAGGAGGAGGAGGAGGAGGAGAAGAAGAAGAAGAAGAAGAAGAAGAAGAAGAAGAAGAAGAAGAAGAAGAAGAAGAAGAAGAAGAAGAAGAAGAAGAGAAGACGCCTGGAGAGACTGCATTTGGCCTGAGCTGAAATGGTAAGCCTGAAGGAAGAAAACTTGGGGAGTGAGCAGCGAAAAGCGAAGGAGAAGAGGCTCCTAAGAAACTTCCTCGAGAACCTCTCCATCTCACGCGGACCCCATGGCAGCCAGCCTTGGTCTGGGACGCAGCTGAAATTGCAGGAAATGTGATTAGGAACTGCTTGACCCTGGGCTCACTGATGGCTGGGAAGAAAACTATTTCTGTTTCCAGCCTGAATCTTTCTGGCGGGGCTCCGGACGTGAGAGAAGCTCGGGTTTGTGGAAATCAGTGCTATTATCCGCGGGATCCGGCCGGAGATGGATGGCCTGGGGGCTGCCCTGGGGCTGGACGCAAATGGCGTTCTTTGGAGAGATCAAGATTCAGCACCACGAACAGCGGTCGCCTCAGACTACCCCACAGCCACCACCACCACCGCCACCACCACCGCCCAGCCTGGAGACCTTCCCCCTCCTTTCCCCCTCCCCCTCCGCCCCCTGCTGTCTGGAGTTGGGCAGTGACCGCCCCTCCCCCAAACCCTCCGCGCGCTGCCCCCGCCTGCCCGCCCGCGTGTGAGCACGACAGAGCTGAGGGAAGGCCGGTCCCCGAAGTGCGGGCTTCAAGACCTGGGCGGGCAGGGCCGGCTGAGGGTGGCCGAAGGCGCGCGGATCTCAGCGCCCAGGAAGCTCGCGTTCGGCGATGTCTTTGCTGTGTGGCCTTGGGCAAGTCACTCTCCGTCTCTGGGCTCCACCTCCTCCCCATTCCCCAAACAGGGTTTCATTCATTCCTAGCAGACCGGGCATTCCTGAGGTCTCAATTACCCTTCTGCTCACCCAAACCCCGGGGGGGCTTTTGTTCCGGCGCCAGCAGGAGTCCGGGTAACAAAAGGCGCCCGTCTAAGGGGGGCGAATGAGCTTGGACTCCCCATTGCCAAGATTCCCACTCGCGCCAGCCTCAGCGCGCCCCGCGGGGCGGGCCCGGGCAGCGGCGGCGGCGGCGGAGCTGAAAATGGCTCATCTGCTCTCTGCTTTCTCTGTTTCGCAGGAGCGGCGGCATGGAGGCTCTCACCACCCAGCTGGGGCCGGGGCGCGAGGGTAGCTCCTCGCCCAACTCCAAGCAGGAGCTGCAGCCTTACTCCGGCTCCAGCGCTCTCAAGCCCAACCAGGTGGGCGAGACCTCGCTGTACGGAGTGCCTATCGTGTCTCTGGTCATCGACGGCCAGGAGCGCCTGTGCCTGGCGCAGATCTCCAACACCCTGCTCAAGAACTACAGCTACAATGAGATCCACAACCGCCGCGTGGCCCTGGGCATCACGTGCGTGCAGTGCACGCCGGTGCAGCTGGAGATCCTGCGGCGCGCCGGGGCCATGCCCATCTCCTCGCGCCGCTGCGGCATGATCACCAAGCGCGAGGCCGAGCGCCTGTGCAAGTCGTTCCTGGGCGAGCACAAGCCCCCCAAGCTGCCCGAGAACTTCGCCTTCGACGTGGTGCACGAGTGCGCGTGGGGCTCGCGCGGCAGCTTCATCCCCGCGCGCTACAACAGCTCGCGCGCCAAGTGCATCAAGTGCGGCTACTGCAGCATGTACTTCTCGCCCAACAAGTTCATCTTCCACTCGCACCGCACGCCCGACGCCAAGTACACGCAGCCCGACGCCGCCAACTTCAACTCCTGGCGCCGCCACCTGAAGCTCAGCGACAAGTCGGCCACGGACGAGCTGAGCCACGCCTGGGAGGACGTCAAGGCCATGTTCAACGGCGGCACCCGGAAGCGGACCTTCTCGCTGCAAGGCGGCGGCGGCGGCGGCGGCGGCGGGTCGGGGGCGCAGGGGAAAGGGGGCGCTGGCGGCGGCGGCGGCGGCGGGGGAGGCCCGGGCTGTGGTTCGGAGCTGGCCCCGGGCCCGCCACCCCACAAAAGCCTGCGTTGTGGGGAAGACGAGGCCGTCGGACCTCCTGGGCCGCCTCCTCCCCACCCGCAGCCGCGGGGACTCGGTCTGACGGCGGGAGCCGGCGGCCCTGCGGGGCCTGGTGGAGGCGCCGCCGGCGTCCGCAGCTACCCGGTGATCCCGGTGCCCAGCAAGGGCTTCGGCCTCTTGCAGAAGCTGCCCCCGCCCCTCTTCCCTCACCCCTACGGCTTCCCCACGGCCTTCGGCCTCTGCCCCAAAAAGGACGACCCTGTGCTGGGGGCGGGCGAACCCAAGGGCGGCCCGGGCTCCGGGAGCGGCGGGGGCGCGGGCGCCGGCGGGGGAGCGGGCGGCCCAGGAGCCGGCCACCTGCCCCCGGGGGCCGGGGCTGGCCCTGGGGGCGGCGCCATGTTCTGGGGTCACCAGCCCTCCGGGGCGGCCAAGGACGCGGCGGTGGCTGCCGCGGCCGCCGCGGCCACCGTGTACCCGACGTTCCCCATGTTCTGGCCGGCGGCGGGCAGCCTCCCGGTGCCGCCCTACCCGGCGGCGCAGAGCCAGGCGAAGGCCGTGGCGGCCGCCGTGGCTGCCGCAGCGGCGGCGGCGGCGGCGGCGGCGGGGGGCGGCGGCCCGGAGCCTCTGGACGGCGCGGAGGCCGCCAAGGAGGGCGGCCTGGGCGCGGAGGAGCGCTGCCCCAGCGCGCTGTCCCGCGGGCCGCTGGACGAGGACGGCGCGGACGAGGCGCTGCCGCCGCCGCCGCTGGCCCCGCTGCCGCCGCCGCCGCCGCCCGCGCGCAAAGGCTCCTACGTGTCGGCCTTCCGGCCGGTGGTCAAGGACACCGAGAGCATCGCCAAGCTCTACGGCAGCGCCCGCGACGCCTACGGCGCGGGGCCCGCCCGGGGGCCGGGGCCGAGCGCGGGGGCCGGCGGCGGCGGCGGCTACGTGAGCCCGGACTTCCTGAGCGAGGGCAGCTCCAGCTACCGCTCCGCCTCGCCCGACGTGGACACAGCCGACGAGCCCGAGGTGGACGTGGAGTCCAACCGCTTCCCCGACGACGAGGGCACGCCGGAGGAGGCCGAGCCCGGCGCGCCCGGCGCGGGAGGCGGCCCGGACGGAGAGCCGCTCGCGGGGCCCCCATCGGCCACCTCCTCGGGCGCGGATGGTCCTGCAGACTCTCCGGGCGGCGGCAGCCCCGGCCCCCGGCGCCGCCCGGGGCTGCCCCCGGCCAGCCGCTCCGTGTTTGGGGACCTGGTGGCCGACGACGCGGCGCGGAGACCGGAGAGGAGCCCGCCGAGCGGGGGCTACGAGCTGCGAGAGCCCTGCGGGCCGCTGGGGGGCCCCTCGCCGGCCAAGGTGAGCCCAGCGCCCGCCCCGCCGGCGGCGGCGTGTCCGTGCTCAGCCCTCTGCCCCGCGGAGAGGGGGGGCTGGCCCTGGCCGGGCGGGGGCCGGGGATTTTGTTCTGAGCGGGCACCGGAGCAGCAGGCCTCGGCTCTGCCGAGTGGGCCCAGCTTCGGAGGGAGCCCCGTGGAGCTGCGCTCGCTGGAGCCCCCAGCTGAGGGTTTGGGGGGGTGGGGGCGCTGGGAAGGCCTGAGAAGCGCCTGTGCTGTGTCTGCATGGATGGGAATGAGGAGGAGACAGGCAGAGACTGGTAGTCGCACAGAAACAGAAAGAGACACATAAAGGGGGTGTCGGTGGGAAACGTTGGAGGAGAGAAAGGGATCCAAAGCCAGAGACAGGCGCAGGTGAGGCATGGCCGGTACCCATTGGGGGAGATTCAGAGCTCCAATGAAGGGCAGCCTCTCCCCAAAGCCAGGCCACTGCAGTGCGGGGATGGGGGGGGGGGTCCCCGGAACCTTCTTCCACCCCAACTCATAATGGTCTGAGTCTCTTGGAATTCCCGGTGGGGAGCTGTCCGCACGGTGTGTGGGTTGGGAGAGGAGCCCTCGGTCGGTTGGGGCCAGCGCGAGGGTTAAGTGTGTGTGCTGGGGAGGGGGTGCAGTTAACCCGGGACTGTTGGCCATTTGAAAGTGGGTGCCCACACTTGTACATTTCCACTCGGTCCATTAAAGCACGAGTCGTTAGCCAGATGCTAAAGGCGTCATTTATGCCCGGGACTGGGCGCGAGAGGGAGGGAAGATGGGGGGGAGAGAAAGTGGGCGATGAGAGTGGGGGTGGCTTTGAGCAGTCCTTGGCTTGGGAACCGGTTTTGTGGGGGATCATTTTCTCCAGGGCGCTAACAATTACCCTGAATCTACAACAGAGAAGCGGCCCCCAAGGGCGCAAGGCTGTGCGGTGTGCGGCACCGGGCCCGGGGCGCTCAGCACCCCCCACCCCCAATCCTTGAGCCGATCTCCGCCACCCCCTGTACATTCCCTCCCGCCGCGGCGCCCGGCCAGGCGGCTCCGGCCCTAACGCCTGTACTTTCTCGGCGCCGCAGGTGTACGCGCCCGAGCGGGACCAGCACGCGAAGAGCGCAGCGGCGGCGCTGGGACCCGCGGCCTCCTACCTCTGCGCCCCCGAGGCCCACGGTAACGCCCCGGCCCCTCCGAGCGGGACGCTGGCCAATGCGATGGGGGGGGGGGGGGCAGAGGGCAGAGGGCCAGGGCCAGGGCCAGGGGAGGTCTGCGAGGGAAGACGAGAGAAAGACAGAGGCAGAGAAAGCCGCAGCGGGGAGGGGAAGAAAGACAACGAGACAAGAAGCTGAGCGAGAACTTCCAACAACTTCCCACGTTTTGGTGACCTAGCCACCAGTCTTCCTGTCCCGCACATAAGCACACACTCACCCACACCCCATACCCCGGGTTAAAACCTTTTAAAAAACCTCTCCTGGCAGGCACCCCTTTCAGGCGCTTTCGTGTATAAAGTACGTGGTTTGGGCCGCGAGGTGCCCCCGTGGACAGACCGGTCCAGCGCGTGGCGCGGGCACTTGGCTGCGCACTTGGGTACCCCTGCCGCGCCCCCGGGGCGGGCCGGAGTGGTTGGGGGTGGGGAGAGCCCTGCAGGTGCCGGAGGGAGGACCCGGCGGCTCGCAGATGAGGGGCTGAGGGCCAAGCCCAGGAACGTTTCCCCCGCCGCCATGCCGGGGCCACTGCCCGGGCCGCGTTCTGAGCAGCAGGGGCGCGGGCAGCCCCGGTGGCCACGCGCGCCCGCGGTGCCCCAGTATCCGCGCTCCGATGTAGGTCGCTCGTCCCAGGTGGGCTCGGCGGCTGCGCTGCTCTTTTCCGAGGGGCTGGGGAGGAGGCATGGAGACCGGGAAGAGCAGACAGTGCGGGGTGGGGGGAAGGGGAGGGAGTGCCCGGTCCAAAGCCTGAGGGTGCAGCCCAGGCGCGCAGCATGGAACCGCGGCGGCCGCGACGCTTTTAATTAGGGCTCGGGCGCCCGGACTGCGGCGGCGCCGGCTCTATCGGGGTCACGGTTTCTCTGCCTCTCCTTGAAACTCGGTTTATTGCCTTTAAGAGCCAGAGAAGGAAGACAATCACTCGACCGCGGCCGACGATTTGGAAGCGAGGAAATCCTACCCAGACCAAAGGAGTATCTCCCAGCCAAGTCCTGCAAACACAGACCGAGGTGAGCCCCAGGACGCTCGCTGGGGCAGCACCCCCAATCGGGAGCTGGGACCCCAGTCGCCCAGAGTCCCACCCACCGGCTTTGGCTGGTGAGCAAAGCTTTCATCAAGAGTAGGCAGCGGCGGAGGGCCCCCTTTTGCGGCTCGCAGATACACAAACAGCGCAGGTGAGGTGCAGGCCACGGCTCCTGAGTCGCTCACCTCCTGGGTGGGTTTGGGCTCTTCCGGGTAAGAGGGCATTTGAGAAGGAATTGGGAACAGCATCACCCACACAAAACAGGCCAGAGGGCACTTCCTGCTCTAAGACAGCCTCTCTTCCCTGGGCCTCCTCCAACGAGCCACTCTCTAAAATGATGGCTACCTCCCTCAAACGTTGGCTTGGAATGTGGGTAGTACTGGCCTGTAGCTGTCTCCTCTACCGGCACCGAATCTGGAGCTGGTCCCTGACTGAGCACAGTTCCCTGGGAGCTCACCCCTCCCCTCCCAAGGCCTCTCCCAGACAGAACCCCCCCTCAAACCACCCCCTCACCTGCCCTTGTATCCCAGGCGAAGATGGGCTCACCTTGGAGGTCCCAGCAACTCAGCTGGTGGAGAAGGATATCGAGAACCTGGCCAGAGGTGAGGGTACACCTGGAATGGGGCTCCCTGTGCCGGGGGCAATGGCCTTTCTTGTAGAGAGGGGTGAGGTTAAACTTGAAATGGGGTTACTGGGGGGGGCGCTTCTTGTAGAGCGTGAGGTTAGATCTGTGAAATGGGGCTACTCTGTGGGGGGGCCCTTCTTGTAGGGGGTGAGGTTACTGGGGCTACTCCATGCTGAGGGGCCTTCATGTGGGGTGTCATTCCTGTTGGGGTGTGCGAGAAGACAGGGTTCTTGGGCCCTCGGTCTCACTAAGTGGAAGGGAGGACCAGGGCACGCTGTGCTGGGCAGAGGTGTGTGTGAGAGCGGGTGGCCAGAGGAAACCAGGCCCCGGAGGCTCACAGGAAGTGTGCGTTCCTGAGGCCAGGTCTGTCCAAACAGCCCGGGGCGAGTAAAGATCCTAGGAACCTGGTGCATGTGGACAACCAGGACATTCTGGGTCTCCCAAACTCCCTGGAAAACGTGACTTTCCCAATAGTAAGATTCCCGGGTGGCCTCTACTTTAGGGATGTTCAAGGGGTTAACTTTTTTCCTGGAATTAATGTAAAACCAACTCACCCCACCTTAGATGGGGGGCGGTTGCAGCTCATGTGCAGAATAGGGTCCTTGGGGTCCGCTGGGCCTGCCAGGGAGAGGGTGTGACTTCAGGCACAGAAGGGAGCCTCCAGCCCCTCTCCCTCCCCTTTCTGTGTGTTGAGCCCCCGCTGGGGAAGGTTTCTCAGAGAGCCTCCCCAGGGGGAGGACCCAGATACCAAGAGCTCCATGGTCCAGGCAGCCCCTGCCGCTTCTCTGGAGTGGTTTCTGAGCTCACTGGCCGGGTTTCCCACCTCTGCCTGCTGCCCTCTCCTCCAGGCTTGCCCAGGGCGGAGCTTGGAAGCTGGTGTGGGGAGAGAGAGAAGCATCTGTGGTCTTCGACTCTGTGTAGTTTACAGATTTTGCAGGACATGTAATTACCTTCAAAATCACGGGTGCTTTATAGGAGTGTGTTTAGCAAGGATTTGGGGCTGTGCTAATAACACTCATATAAAATTGTAAACAAACTGTTGTACGTAAATGTATTTTTCCTGAAATTGTGAACAACCTGTTGTAAGTGTGTGTATTTTTCCAGGGCTGGGGCCCAAGACTTTGACCAGATTCTCCCTGGTCTGTGTTATTGAAGGGAAGGATTAGGTCTCACTTTTGAAGGGGTAAACTGAGACCTCCAGAGCTAGCCTCCGAAATTAGGGAGCTGGGAACAACTTGAAGCAGGTGCCACTCTGCTTGGTGCCCTGAGCCAGGGCTTGGAAGTGGGAAGTGCCCTCCACCATCCTGATTTGATTCTCCCGGGCCATTTACTTCCCACCCCCTTTTCCTACCCCCAAATCCTTTGGAAGCAAATGGGTAAACTGGGTGCTGAGGTCCTCTACCTCCCGCCCCAACGCCCCCAGCTCCCATCTCAGGGCTATTGGCCTTGGCAGGACCTGCGGCCTCGGGGCCTCCTGAGTCCTGCACACCCTCTCCTTCACCTCCCACTCTCCCCGTTCACAGACGAGCTGCAAAAACTGCTCCTGGAGCAAATGGAGCTCCGCAAGAAGCTGGAGCGAGAATTTCAGAGTCTCAAAGGTACCCCCATCCTGACCCACCCCACCCCACTTCCTGGCAGGAACCTTCTTCCCTCCAGAGCCCAGTCTGGCTCCAGGACCCCAGAGCCAGCAGCTGCCCCGAGCCCTGCGGACGCCCCCGCCCCCCTCCTTTGCTGGGGTTTCCCACTAGACCAAAGACGGGGTGGGAGGGTGGGGGAGGGGAGCGGGGGAATGGGGCCGAGGGAGGGGGAGGGGCTGTGCTTAACAGCTCTCACTTAATCAATTTGCACAGATAATTTTCAGGATCAAATGAAGAGGGAATTGGCTTATCGAGAAGAAATGGTGCAACAGCTGCAAATTGTCAGAGGTAAGACGGCAGTCAGGTGAGCGCGCGCACGGGCCATAACTGCCTCTCGTCTGGCAGGAGCCGCAATGTCGGCTCAGTCATTTGGATTTAAATGGAAGGTAATTTAACAATTATTTTTTTATTTAATATCCTTTGTATACTCTGATTAGCCTCGGAATGGCAAGCGAACCCAGCAAACGGCTTGCAGGCATCATTACATGGAGTGATTGAACTTCTTATCGCGGCAATTTCCATGGTTTCTAAATTAAAAATCGAGGCGTAAAATTACCTGGGAAGTAATGCCTAAGTTTGCTTTAATTTTGGTTAGATCCGTCTGCCTCTAAGCACCATCCCAGGCCATTTCCTCCCTCCGTCAGGCTGCAGTTGGGAGCCTTGATGCCTCCTCCCTCGGTCCCCAGTCTTGTTTTCCGAACGGGCTGAGAGCTGAGAAGAGGGTGGGGGCTGGGGCTGTGACTCTGCCTCCCCGGCAGTGGACGAGTGGGCTCATTTCCTCTCCGGCCCCTCCCATGTCTTCCAGACACTCTGTGTAACGAACTCGACCAAGAGCGGAAGGCGCGCTATGCCATCCAGCAGAAGTTAAAAGGTTCGGAAGCCCTGGAGCAAAGATGGGGTGGGGGGGTATGCCAGACTCTGGCTGTGCGGGAGAATGAATAAAGGATCAAATGAATGAATGAATAATCGAAAGAATGAATGAATGAGTGATCCAAGGAGTGGGTGAGCGAATGAATGAACGAATGAATGAATGAATGAATGAACAAACCAACCAACAAACGAAGAAACCACGGTGCCAGAGTGAGGGAAGGCCAGGTTTACATGGACCAGAAGCTGGGAGGAGGAACGTAGGGTTTGCTTTCAATGAGGAAATGATCTCAGAACGGGTGGGATAGGAAGAAAGAGCCCCCTGGGCTCTGGGCATTGGGAAACCGCCCTCAGGTCCAACTCTTGCCTAGAGCAGGTGGACCTTCCTCTTCCTGTGCCTCAGTTTCCTCTTCTGTAAAATGGGGCCTTTGCACCACTGCAGTGGTTCTGAATCGCCCGGGTTTCTTGCCTATCCTCCTATCTTCTGACCCACTCCCTTGAGAACCCCTGAGCCAGAAGAGGGTGGGTGAGACCCAGGTGGCCAGAGGAGAGGGTGTGTGGGGGGGGTGGGGACCGTGCCAGGGATGCCAGGCAAGTGAGACACCCACCCTGGTCTGCCCGACTGTCTCTCCAGAAGCCCACGACGCCCTGCACCACTTCTCCTGCAAGATGCTGACCCCCCGCCACTGCACTGGCAACTGCTCCTTCAAGCCCCCGCTGCTGCCCTAGGGCCGGCCCGGCCGCTTACGCGCCCTCAAGCCATGCTGCTCTCTCTCTTCTGTAAATACCTGCGGCCAAGGCGGCCGAGAGCGTGGAACAAGCCATTGGGACCCGAGCGATGTAAATACAGCTTCCCGCCCGCCCTCCTGCCGGGCGCCTGGGCCCTCCCCGCCCCCAACCCCGGGTGCCCTAGCCCAGGGCCCCCGCCCGGTTTCCAAGTGTAAATACCATTTCGCCCCCCGGCTGAACTCCAGGGCATTGGACCTCGTGGGGTTACCTGGACAGAGGGGATAAGAAAGGCGAGGGGGAGTCTACCCTTCGCCTCTGGACAGCCTCCTCGGACCCCAGTTGTGATTACAACGTAGCAACTTGGCTGGCGCCGGCCTCGCGCGGGTCCCGTCACTCCTGAGACTTGTTCCTAATGACAAAGTGGCTATGTGCAATGGATATACATGTCCTGTGAGTCTCTTGGTTCAGTACTGAGTTTACTTTAATTTATTTATGCTGTATGTCATTCTGCTTCCTCCTCCCGAACCTGCTTCCAGTCCCGTTTTTTGCAGTCCCTCTGGGGTTTTGCTTTGTCTGTATTTTGTTGTAACCTCTCGATGTAATAACCAGCACTTTAAAAAGGGCGACCACTGACTCACGAGATGGAGACCACCTGGATCTGTTTGGGGAGACCACCCTGTCTGTACCCGTGACTTTCGTTTTGTTTTTAATTAAAAAAAAAAAAATCTGTCACTTCCTGAGGCGTAGGAGTGCGAGCTGGGGAGCGGGGCAGGGTGGCCGGAGGCCGGGGAAGGGCTGCGCAACAGGTGGAGGTGGGGGCGGCCGCGCGGGTTCCGGGCTGAGCATCGAGCCTCACACACACCCCGCTGCCCCCCAGGACACCCTCCCCGCGCTCAGGGCCCCCTTGGGCCCCGCCTGGTAAACACTACCGCGGCCTAGTTCCTGGGCCCCTCGTCTCTGACTCCTTGGCACTCGCAGGGGACAAGAGAGTTTATTTGTGCCATTTCCAGACTGTCCCACCCAAGAGATCACCTCCTGGGCGCCCAGAGGTGGGGCCCTGCCCGGAACCCCAGGCTCCCCCACAATGCAGGGAGCTCAGACACCGCGGGCCACGCCCCGGAGCGCTGGGGTGGGGGGTAGGGGTGAGGGGTTGGGGGGGACAGGTCTGGAAAGGCCAGGCGAGGCTCAACGCTGGGGCGCAGACGCACTCCCGCCTGCCCCTCCAAAGGGAAAGAGCCCTGGCAGAGTTTAATGTTCCCCCATTTTAGTCCCGAGTGGGATTGAGGGAGTGAGGGGAGGGTGCAGCCCGCCAGCCGCAGGTGTCCGGGTCGCCGCACTGATCAGACCCCGCCGGGGTGGGGTGGCGGGGTGCCGGGGCCGGGGACCTGCAGTCGGCCTCAGTTTCCACAGCGAACCTGCTGGTAGGGCCATGGGGGAGGATGGAAACGGCCGCTCACTTTTTGCGGTGGGGAAGGAGGAAAGCGTAAAGGCAGTAGGAGCCCTGGCCGGGTTGGTTCAGTGGATAGAGCGGCGGCCTGAGTAGGAAGGGTCCCAGGTTCCATTCCGGTCTCAGGCACACGCCCGGGTTTCGGGCTTGATCCCCAGTGGGGGACGTGCAGGAGGCAGCAGATCAGTGATTCTCTCTCATCATTGACATTTCTATTCATTAATGTTTCTATCTCTCTCTTCCTCTCTGAAATAAATAAAAATATAGTTAAAAATAAATACATGCAGTGGGAGAGGTGGGAGGATTGGGAACCATGCAGCTCCGGTGGTGCCTAGGCCTCGGTGTCAGGTTCTGTAGGGAAAAACACTCAAAAAAAAAAAAAAAAAAACACCAAACATTTTAATAATGTACTAATGTCTTTAACCTGAAGTCAAAACTTCTGGGTAAGGGTATTCAGTGCAGAATGATATTCAGGCCCTGCCCTGCGCCCTGCGCCCTGCGCCCCCGCCCTCCGACACACCCAGGCTCTCTCTGCCATGGAACTTGGGCGCCGGGGCGGCCGGGGGGTGGGGGGGGGGCGGAGCGGAGACCCCGGAGGCGGGCGCGGCTCCACGCCGCCCGGAGAGCACTGGCCGGGAGGCAGTTGGACAGCGGGTGGTCCAGAGGCCGGAGCGCAGCCCACTAGGGGGGCGCGATCGCAGACGCCCGGAGGGGGCGCAGGCGGGGAGGCCCATCGCACGGCCACGGCAGGAAGCCGGCCCCAGGGCACCCTGCACTCGGGGTCCTCAGGCCCGGGGTCCCCCCGGGGGCTAAAGAGGGCGCAGGAGGGAGCGTGGCGGCGAGGGCACCGGGGAGATGGCGAGGCGTCGCCGAGGAAAGCGTCTTTGGGGCGCAGGGCCTCCCGACAGGGACCCTCCGGGGACATTTCCTCCGGGTGGGTCGGACCAGATCCGGCTTCGCGGCACCAAAAGTGAAACTGGGGTCCAGAGAGGACATGACTCGCGTCCTCGGGGCGAGCTGTCCTCGGGGGGTGGGGGGGAGCGCAGCGGGCACAGGCCGGGCACAGGGCCGGGCAGCCTGCGGTGGGCGGTGCTCGCGCCTCTCCCCTTGGGAAGCCGCCCTGTCCTGCTTGGGAAAATGGGAAAACAGCGGCTACCCAGGCAGGAAGGTGCGTGGCTGCGGCCCACGCGGAAGAGCCTAGCAAATACTCCCTTCCACCTTCCCTTTCCGAATCCTCCAAACGAAGGGAAGGGGAAAAGCCGTGGGCGGCTGGGCCTGACTGGAGGGGCGCCCCATCGGGACCGGAGTCTCTGAGGATGGAGGTGTGGGCGGACCCGACCCAGAAAGCTCTGTCGCAAAAGCCCTCCTGGGCTCCAGCGTCCCTTCAGAAGTGGTTTGTCCCCCCCCCCCCCCCCCGAATGTTAATAACGAAACGATTGGTATGGATGTAATTATCAATAATTATACGAATTATTGCTGATTGCGGGGCTCGTAGCTACTTTAATTAGTTTACCAGATTCTAATTAAGTTAAATGAAACATTAATAGGGAAAATATGCTTTGAAAAAAAAACAACCCTGGATTTTTTAATTTTTTTTTGTCTATTTCTCGCCACAATGTTGCCACCTTGCGACACATTTTAGGCATTACTTCCAGCGTCCGAAGGCCCCCAGACTAAGGAACTTTGTTTTAGGGAGAAAAAGTGGGGTTTAGAGAAATGGGAGCGGGCTGGGGGCCCCAGGATGCCCTTCCCGCTGATCTTTCTGGATATTTGGTTTCGCACCCCAAACCCCTGGCTCCGGAGTCCGAGGTCTGGAGGTAAAGAGATAAACCATGTGCCTTCGACGTCCCACTCTTTTTTTTTTTTTTTTTTTCCTCACTTTTTTTTCGGCAGAGAAACTTGGTCCCCGCATAGGGAAGCACTGTGCGACAGGTGGTCTCTGTCATCACCAGTTCCAGAAAATCCAGGGTGAGAAACTGAGTCACACTAGGTGGATGGAGTAGCAGCAGGTTGTCTACTTTTTCACTGCCCTGGGAGAAACCAGTACCAGTAGGTTGCTCAAAAGACCCCTGGATTCCATGGCACTTGGTTCATGAAGCCAACAGGGTGTTGTTCGTTTCCCTGAGTTATCCTTGGTTTTGTCTATTTCCCGCGGAACTGTAAGTGCTTCTGCAACAGAGGCCACATCTTACTCTCCCTCATGACCTCCCGCACGAGGCCCAGGGCATCACAGGTGCTCACAGGTAGATGAATAGGTTCTAATGTCATTCATCTGAGTCTGAGTGAAGGAATCCCTAGGTGCTTCTGGACAACTTCTACTGGGAGGCAGTTAAGCTAATTTGCATAAGGTTAATTAAACACAATTTTATTGCTCAGAAGGTCCTTCATCAATAGGATTAGGTTGGGGGTAAGGGAGGTGTCAGGTAGGTGATTATCAACCTAGAATAGGAAAACTTTCTTCCAACTTCATCCCAAAGAGGGTGCTTCTTCACTCTGTCACATTTTGCCAGGCCACTGGGCACATACCAGGGTATTCACTCCCAGCTACCCTGATCTACGGTATAGCTTCGTCCTTTGCAAAATCTTGACTTCTGCCCTTGAATTCAGAACACCAACAAAGGTGGACTTGCATGTTCATTCTGTTAATTCTAAACATCCTTATCTCCCACTCTCCACCCCCACACCCATCGAGGTACATAGTGTAGGTCTCAGTCCCCTCTCTGTCACACACCAGTTGTGTGACATCGGGCAAGCTGCTGAATCTCTCTGTGCCTCAGCTTCCTCATCTATAACATGAGGGGGAAGGGGGACCTACTTATGGAACTGTGCAGAGCCAGGAGAGTCAGCCAGGTCTCTGGCTTTTCCAGAAGCCTGTCATTCCTAATGTCTGCTCTGAGACAACCACCATGCCAAAACTGATGAGTTTCTTTGGAAGGACAGAGAGCCAACCAACTTTGGTCATAGAGACATTTAAAACCACTCACCCAGCCGAGACCGGATTGGCTCAGTGGATTGAACGTCGGCCTGTGGACTGAAAGGTCCCAGGTTCGATTCCGGTCAAGGGCATGTACCTTGGTTGCGGGCACATCCCCAGTAGAGGGTGTGCAAGAGGCAGCTGATCGGTGACTCTCTCTCATCGATGTTTCTAACTCTCTCTCCCTCTCTCTTCCCCTCTGTAAAAAAAAAAAAAAATCAATAAAATATATATTAAAAAAAACAAACAAAAAACCACTCACCCAATGCCCAAGTGGCCTCTAAGAAGAGCCATGGCCATGCATTGGAGGCCATGAACCCAGGAGGAGACACAAGAAGTCCCACATACACCTATTTTCTGTTACCTGGAAAGGATCATTTCACTCCACTAAAGAGAACAGAAATAAGTGCCTGATCCAACGCAGGGTGGCAGCTCCAAGGGCCTATGGGAGAGTACCCTCTGCTGCCCTGCTGGGTGCTGGGGCTCCACCTCTGACTGCCAGTCCTGACTGCAGTGGCACAGAGCCTGGGAGCCCTGCCACCAGTGGAGGCTGCAGGAACCTCCAGGACTACTATGTAG